CAAGGCTGGGGACTGCCAGGGCAGGAGCCTGTGGCTTACAGTGGGGTTAGCAGTTCACCCCTGCTGTTTAGGAGCTATCTCCGATGCAGCAGGAAGGGAGCCGGGAGCGTGGGCAGTGGCCACAGGGGGAAAGTCTAAGGAAGCATTTCTCATCAGAAGAGAAGCCAAGGGGAAACGATGACTCGTGGGCACCGCCCATCTGCCCGGGGTGGTTGTTGGCCTTGCTGGGGTGCTGAGGGTGCTGCTGCAGCTGGTAGTGGACTGACTGTTCTTGGTTTCATTTTTTAAGAAACAGGGTCTTGATATGTTGCCCAGGCTGGCCTCAAACTCGTGATCCTCCAGCATTAGCCTTCCAAGTAGCTGGCAAGTGATTCTTTTTAAGAGAAAAGAATGGATTTGCTTTCACCATTCAATCAATAAATTTTCTAGTTGTCTTTAAAAACAAATAAAAACACGCATTTTAAAAAGGAAGCTGCAAGTTCTAACAGGGTAGCCCAGAGAACCCATGGCCAGTACTCAATACTATGAAGGTCAGCAAAGCAAGGGGTCGCTGAGAGACTGTCACAGCCAAGAGGCACCCAAGGGGACATGACAGCTAAGTGCGATGTGTTCTGGAGGAGCCCCTGAAGGAAAAGGACATTAGATAAAAGCTAAGGCACTCTAAGTATGGACTTTAATGATAATGTAGCGATATTGGCTCATCATTTGCAACAAATGTATATACTGTACGATTTTAGTGACAGGGGAACTGGGTATAAGGTACTGTTCTTTCATAAATCTAAAACAGTTCTAAAAAAATAAAGTCTATTAAGATTTTTTAAAGTGCTTATTATAAAAACGAATTGTAAAATGCATCATTTAAAAAGTTATTTGGGCCAGCTGCGGCACAGTGGTAACACAGCGCTCCATGATGCTGAAGCCATATGGGGAAGTCCTGAGTTCATGCCCCAAGGTCTCCCTGTACACGTCAGAAAGATGCTTGCGTGCCTGTGTTCCAGGCTGGCTGGGGGTAGGTCATGGCATGAAGACCGTGCTGGGGACACCTGTCTCATTTTCTCAGGGTAAAAAATAAATGATAAATGATAATTTAAAGCATTTTAAAATTCCATTTTTAAAATTGAAGCGTGTCCATCTCCCCCATCGTGTTCACTGCTTCTCCATTTATTCCGAGTGTTACAATCCGAAGTACGCAGATACGGGCTCCAGGTTGCCCTTCTCCCATCTCGGCACTTCCACCCCTAAATTCTGAGCTTCTCAAAGACAGGTATCTGGCTTCCAATCCAACCTACTTCCTTTTCCTCCCCTCCATCCTTTTTCTTCTATAGTTCGGCAAAGGGACTTTTCACATCACTGAACTCAGTTAGAATCATGGGCCCTTGAACTTGTTCAGGGTTCTTTACCAAGTGGGTTTGCCTGTATTAATCTCACTTTTCATCACAGGCCTGGGAAGGGAACATTATCATTATCCCCATTTTACAGAAGAGGAAACTGAGGCTCAGAGAGGTTGGGTAACCTGCCCAAAGTCACAGGGCTGATAAGGGGTGGAAGGACTAGAAACTACCCTCTGGTGTGCTTTTCCCATTGGCCTTGCCCCTTCCCTACTCTGCTGAGCTGGGCTGCGGAGAGGGGCACCCTATAGCCAAACACCTCCCAGGTGGTGTTCTGGGGCCCAGGCGACTCTTAGAGGCGGAGGTAGGGTGACCCCGCTCCGAGGGGCTGGCTTACAGTGAAATGGCAGCATGCTGTTTCAGCAGCCTGGACTGACAGATTAGCTGCCTCAGCCCCCCCCCGCCCCACACACAAGCCAAGGGGCCTCCTGGGCTGGATCACTGCGTTTAGCTGAGAGCCGTGAGGGCTGTGGGGAGCTGAGCAGCCTTTGGATTTCCTGGGCCGCTGGTTACCACCAGCAATTACAGAGCCCTGTTTAGCTGCAGGGCCAGTCAGGTGGAGGCACAGGCTGGTCTCCAGCCCTTCCCCTTGATGGGCAGCCTTTTCCCTGATGTCGGAGCAGCTCTGCAAACAAGACTTGAATTACTTTGGTGAAACTTTGATGCTGAGCCTTCTGGGAAGGAGGGTGGGAATTGGTGGGTGACCACTGCTGGGTAGCAGAGTCAGGGTGGCAGGATGGCAGGAAGTGAGTGAGTCCAAGGCTGTCGCCTGCCCAGGTACACTGGGTGGGTTGAGAGACGCTGGGGGTAGAAAGTGCAGGAAGAAAAAGTGAATTCTGCGAAGAACTGTTCCTGGCACAGCATAGTGGCAACTCAGAGGGAGGGCGGGGTTATGAAAAGTGCAGGATTTAAAATCAAAGCAGGGTTCACGCTGCGGCATCCATCAGCCATGACCCTCCTTCCTCCAGGCATAGCTTTCTTATCTGAGTGCTGGGGGTGAAAATGTTTACTTCAGAGTTGGGACTACCACGTGAGAAACGCGATGGAAGGTGCGCGCGGCGTCACGGCTCCAGAGTGAGGAAGGGTGAGCTCACCTCCCGGGGCTCCAACCCTCGGGCACAAAGGATGAACAGCTAGTTGGGAACCGGACATGGCTTTACAATAGCTGAGTGCCACATCTTCTGGGGTCTTTGAAGTCAGATCATTTACTCTCCCTCTTTTCCCATTTTCATTATTTTTCTTTTTATCTATTTATTCATGATCGAGAACACATGTGCAAAGGAGAGAGAAAGAGAGAGAGGGAGACAAGCGCCCTCCACAGAGTCTGGTAATACTGCAGTCCTCTTCCCCCAGCCCTCCAGCCGGTTAGGATCTCAGCTTGCATGGGGGAGGAGGAGGGCCCGACCTGCCTGGGCCATGTGGCTTCCAGGACTGTGGTTCATTCAGTAAGCTACTGATAGTGCCCCAGGGGCTGGGCCCCCTCCCCATTTTCTAAAGAGACTGAGAGTCTGAGTGATGACTTGGCCAGTCTCTGGCTCATCAGTAGACCTGAGCTCTGGCTCCTATCTCTGACATGCTGCAAGGTGTCACTGTCATGGCCCTGGTTCCTGATGCTTCTGAGCCTGTTGGTTCTGGTGGTCACCACCCCATTATCACCCCGTGCCCAGATGCCAGAACTGGGGTGATAGTTTAGTATACCACACTTCTTAGATTGCAGTCTCACCCAAAGTCTCTAAAATAAAAGGCCAAGAGAACAAAATAGTCAGTATGGGGGGGGGTCCCCTTAAATATTATAAAGCACTTACTGAGAAATTGAAGAAGGTTTACATTTCGCCTTGTTTTTATTTGGCACCTACAAATAATTTCTCCCAGGAATGTGAGCTTTGCCTGTCTCCTCTCCAGATGGTCTGGTGTTATTTAAACAGGACCTAAAGCATGCATTTGTTACTCGGGAAGTGGCCTTCAGATGCTCTCTAACTTTGAAGTGGATGTTTAGTTCAGGTGTGGTACCTGGATGCTCCAGGGCCTCCAGGGTTGTTCAAGGTCGCCATCACCTTCCAGCCCTGTTAATTCCCACTTTCTCTGGCCAATAGATTTTCCTGGAACACCCACCTGGGGTGCCCAAGGGCCCCTGGTCTTCCATCTTTTGTGGGGGCGACAAGGGAGGAAATAGGAGGTGAGCTTCTGAAGGTGAGAATGTCTCTGGCATCTCAGGAATCCACACAGGGTCAGCCCAACCTCTGGGTCATATCCTCCCTTGAAGGTTGGGCCTATCCTAATGAGTCACACAGCTGCTCACCATCCCTCAGGGCTTGAAAAGTGTCCAGGCCCCTTCTAGAGAGCCTAGCCCAGGATGAAACCCACAGGCCCTGCAGTCAGACTAAATCTGTCATTTCAGTCATGGGAAGACCTCCATCTATAAATGGGATAATCACAGAGCCTTGGAGATTCTGCAAGCATCGTTTAGCATCTGGTAAATATTGGCTTGTCAGAAAAGTCGTGACATATTTTTTCTATGCCCAAATGTGTCATAACTTTTCTGGCAAGTCAACGGTATATATTCACTAAATGTCACTGGGTCATCAGGAAAGTCATAATGGATTATTGCACAGAGAAACATGTCACGACTTTCCCGACGACCCGAGAGCTATTATTGAGAACATCAGAACCGCTGCTGGTGGGCAAGGGAAGGCCGTTCAATTCTAGTCATCAGTTTTGTTATGGATGAACTTGGGGGTAGCAGTTGAGGCCGATGGCAGGAGACAGGTTTTTGGATTATCGGAGCAAGTGATCTGCTTTAGTAAGTATAAACCTATGCTTATTAAGAACTTAAAAAGTTGAGGGTGAATTCTATGATATCTTAAATAACAGTCCCAAGCCCCACTGTTGGGATGTCAGAGAAGCCTTGGGAACTCTTGGAAGAAAGCTTAGGGTTTTGCAGGTTCAAATCCTCAACAAGCACCACATCCAGAAACAAACCAGAACTGAGTCTCGAAGAGCGAAGGCTCGAACCCGCACCATTCAGCTCTCCAGCTGACTGCGTGTACATGAACTTTGCAGTGGCCGTTTTACAACAGCGAGCACAGCTTCCTGCTGTTGTGATACCATGGTGAGCTTGTCTGCAAACACTGAGAATGCTCGGGGACGTGCTTCCTCTCGGCAGCAGCGAGCAACAGGGTTTCCTCTTCCTTCACACTGAGTCACTGTGCCCGCCCACAAATCTCAGAGCACTTGGGGTTGTCCCTATTCTGGGGGAGTCCTCACACCTGGCCCTCAGTGGAGAGCCTGGCTGTTTCATAATATGAGACCACATGTCACAGAGCCAAGGCGTAAAAATCAGAGGCCACTTGGTCCCCCCAGTGGCAGCGTCTTTGTACCCTCAGCAACTAGCCCAGGAGAAGTGACACAGGAGGCCTCGTGTGTGTGCCTCAGTCTCAGCGTGGGGTTCGGGATGGAACCGCTGCCCCCAGAGAATAAGAAAGTCCATGGAGCTTCTAGGAATGGGAACCGCCAGTCTGCTCAGGAAGGGAGAGAAGCCACAGGTTGTCCCTCCACTTCCTCCCACGGCCTTGCAGACAAGATCCCCTCGGCTCGTTCTGATCCAACACTTACCCAGGGCTCCTTGGCAGATGTCTGTGCGGGTGGCTCCTCCCACGATAAACTGGGGATCAGCGCAGATCTCCTGGGAACGAGACCCACAAAGTGCCATCAGCCCACCAGGCAGGTCCTTTTGCAGTTAGGACACCTCAGCTCCCAGCCAGAGCCTGCAGCCCCTTGTCCTCCCCACATCACCTCCCTTTCTCCCTTAGAAAGTTTTGCAGTCACAGAGGTGGGTGCCTCATGGATCACAGCAGACGGACGGGGGATCCTGGCTGAGAGGAGCAGCCATTGCACCCCAAACACTGCAAACTCCAGCACCTCGTGCACTGTGCTAGCTCCAGGGCCCTGGCAGTATTGGTGCAGCCTCCTCTGTCAGGTGCCACATCCCTCTGCACTCCAGAGCAGCCCTTACTGCCATGCTAGCATCAGCGTCCTCTGTTCCTGCACACACGCTGTCGTGCTTATCTGGACTTCCTCCCTCCCACTCTGTTCCCTCGTTTTCTGCATCAGACCATATTTCAAGACCCATTGCCGCATCCTCCACGAAGCCCTCCTTCACAGTTCACTCTTTCTTCTCCCTTTCCGGGTGAGTCCCAGAGTCTCTGTTGTATTTCTAGGTATTACTCCATCTTCCTAGCACTTGCTTCTCCAGGGCAGGAGACTACACCTATCTCTTCTAAATTCTTCCACAGGCCCATGACACTGGCACACCTGGGTATAGCCAGTCTCCGTATCTGCAGGTTCCACACCCACGGATCCAGCTATCTGCACATGGAAAATGGTCCTGCAGCTAACGTATACCCCAGTTAGGTCAACCACGGTCACGTCTGCACAGAGCGTGTACAGACGTTTTTTCTTGCTGTTATTTCCTGAACAACAGTATAATAACAATTTACATGGCAGTTCGCTTGTATTAGGTATTATAAAGAATCTAGAGATGACTGTAAGTATGTGGGAGGAGGTATGGAGGTTAATGCAAATACTATATCCTGCATTTGTATAAGGACTTGAGCTCCCACCGATTTTTGTATGGGGAGGAGGTGTCTGGAACCGATCTGCTGTGGATATCAAAGGAAAATTGTAGAGGATACTTTAAAGTTTGTGGAAAAAAGGTATCAGTGTATGAGTTCATCTTGGTGGAGCAAAAAATACATCTATGCATAGTTTTCTCATAAGCATTTTCATGAACTATTGTTTTGGAGAGGTTGTTGCTACAGGGCGCGTGCGCTCTCCAGACAGACAGAGACATAGAGACAGAAAGCGAGAAATCATCCCCCAGGGGGGATGGTCACGCCGCAATCCCTTCTCCTCCATTCTCCTCTCGGGATCTTGGGCACACACGCACATGTGCCCGGCGTGAATTTTAAGCCACCGGGTCCGGGACGCGAACCGCAGTTGACTACATGGGAGTCCAGTGACATAGCCATTACGCTAACTGCTGGTTCCCATTCATGAACTATTTTAAAACAATTATTTAATTTTATTTATTTTTAAAATTTTGCTATATGGCATGTGTGCTCACCAGAGAGAGACAGAGAAGGAAAGTGAGAAAGCAAGCTGCCAGTTCTGGGACTCAAACGCAGGTCAGCCATGTAGGAATCCAGCTTCCCAACCACCATACTCCCTGCTGGCCCTCTTTCATGAACTTTTTTGTTTCTGTGTTTTTAAAAAATCTATTTAATTTTATTTATTCATTTATTTTACTTTGACTAGAGAGAGACAGAACTAGAGAGAGACAGAGAGAGAGAGAGAGAGAGAGAGAGAGAGAGAGAGAAAGTGAGAAAGTGAGAAAACAAGCCACCAGGTCCAGGACTGGAACTGTGGTCGGCCATGTGGGAGTTTCCAGTGCCTTAATCACCATGCCACTGCTGTTCCCTTGTTTAACTTTTTAAAAAAAAATAAATTATTTTATTTAACATTATTGATTTATTTATTTTAAATTTGACCACAGAGAGACAGAGTGATCGAGGAGGAGAGAGAGAGAAAGTGAGAAAGCAAGCCACCAGGTCCAGGATTTGAACCACAGTTGGCCATGTGGGAGTCCAGTGCCTTTAGCCACTATGCTGCCTGCCCATCCCTTCATGAACTTTTTGAAAGGCCCTCGTATTCTATACCTGCTGGATGTTAGTTACGGTGCTTGCAGCTTTACCTTGGAATGTGGCTCTCTCAGGAACACAAGATGGGTATTACCTCCACTTGACAGGCAAGGAAACAGCTTAAGAAGGGGAAGCGATGTGCCCGGTTACACAGCTCGCAGGTGACAGAGAGCACTGAGTGGGCTTTAACTTGTTACTCTAAAGTGCAAACTTTCCGCTCCTGCGCTCCCTCTAATTGATTAGCAACAGTGCCTCTAAGGGTGTTAAAACCTCAGGGACAAGTGTCAAAAGCAACCTGATGGAAGCCAACCTTGAACAACCTTTCAGCCCTCCCATCAGCCCTCTGAGTATTTCCTGATTCTAAGGAGCTCCACCCCAAAGCCACAGAGGAAGCCGAGGCACAAATCTGGGGCTCTTTGCTCTGGGCAACCCTGATTGGCAGAAGCTGTTCCTCTGGTTCAGTGTTGAGTGTCGCATGTGCGTGGCTGCACCCCACAGCCCTTGGTGCCCCTCTCTGTGAAACAGAAGCAGAAGCTTCTTCTGGATGAGTCCTGGATCTAGCCCTGTCCATCATGGCTTGTATTATAGAAACTCTTCTAGAAGCACAGTCTGCCCCAGGCGCATTCCTTTCGTGTCTCCCATTGTCTCTCTGTGCTCAGGTCCCTCTGCCGGGGTGGGGGGGAGTGGGGGGGACAATGAGAATGCTCTTCTGCTGAGGCAAGCACAGCCAGCTTTGCCCAAGGCCTGCCAGCCAAGCACTCACCCAGCAAATGGCACAGACTGGGCTTGGTGCTGGGCGCCTCTTTATTATGAAGAATGATATCGATAATCCTGGGCATGCCAGGCACTTACCCCAGCAGGATTTTTCCACTATGTTTCAGACATTTTCTCACCCCTTTGGCAGCCTCTCCAGAGAAGTCAAAGTTCAGAGTGGCACCCAGAGCTGCTTCAGAAGACCGAACTTGTGCACAGCATGTAGGATGCCAAATTAAATAGGGGGATGTATCCGTCAGAGCAAAGGGGTCGAGGCTCTGGACTTTGGATTCCCACAGCCTGGGCTTGAATTCTGGCTCTGCTATTTATTATATAGGTGGAGTAGCCCTGATCTGAAATGCTTGGGACCAGGGTGTTTTGGATGGGGGATTTTAACATTTTGGAATATTTGCATAGACATAATGAGATCTCTTGGGGAGGGGACCCGAGTTTAAACATAAAAATTCATTTATATTTCCTATACATACACCTGATACATACAGCCGGAGGTAAATCTATACTGTATTTTTGTATTGCAGCATTTTGACTGGACCTGTCATAGGGGTCAAGTGTGGAATTTTCCACTTCTGGCAGCATGTCAGTGCTCAAAACGTTTCAGAATTTGGAACATTTTGAATTTTCAGATGGGGGATGCTCAGCCTGTATAAGTCCAATGATCCTGGCCAAGTTCCTTAGTCCCTTGAAACCTCACTTTCCTCAGGGGAATGATGAAGTACCTGTCACAGAATTGTTCTGAGGGTTAAGTGAAGTAACTACATGAACAGGCCTTGATAAACACTCCACAAATGTTACTTGTTGTTATTAAAGAACTGACGGTTGGGCCAGCTGGTGGCATGGTGATCAAGGCGGCTGGATCCCACATGGCTGGCAGCACAGTTCAAGTCCAGACCTGGCAGCTTAAAAAAAAAAACATGCTGAATGCACGTGTGCGTGTGCCCACAATTCTGAAAAAAGGAGAAATGGGGGAGAAGGATCGCAGTGGGGGTGCCCCTCATCCATCACTTTCTCTCTCTACCCCTCACTGGTGAATACATATGTCCTTTGGCAAAATTAAAAATAAATAAATAAAAAGAATTGATGGTGGTAATAACTGCTCAACTTGGTGGTAATAACCAGTGAATCTGGAGACAGGACATGTGGATTTGAGGCTGAGTTTAGCCAGTTGAGTATTAGCGAGTCATAAACCTCTCAGGGGTTTGGCTTTCTCAGGGAAAGTGTGACTAACAGCACCTGCCCTGTGCCTACCTGACTGGCTGCTGGGACAATCCAACGTGCCACCCTCGGGTCAAACCAGCTTTCCCCTCGCTGTGCATGGGCCCGTGGACCTCACAGTGACGGGTGCCATTTCCTGTTTGATTCCCCTCCATCCCTGGAGACACTCTCCAGCCAGAGTTGCGAAATCCCTCTCAGAGAAGAGCAGTCCCTCCTGGCTGCAAGGCTAACCAGCTGCTCTGCCCTGCTCTGCTCCGCCCTGCCCGCCGTCCCTTCTCTCACTTCCTCGGGGACCCTGTCTCACTATCTCTTCCTGCCTTGATTGGTAAGCCTTGCTCTTTGGTGCCTTGATACATAACACATTCAAGTAGCTCACATCTGAAAAAACGGTCTCTCAGACCCTGGGTCCTGTTTTACCAGTTTCTTTCTCTCTTTACACAGGAGCGCTTGCTTCTTTTTTTTTTTTTTTTTTTTCCAATTTATTTGCATTCATTCACTGTACATCATTACAGCATACACAATGAGATTTTCCATCCAGAGTACACTGTATATTGTCTCAATCGAGCACATCAACAAACATGTTATTATTAGCAAATGATCTTCCATTTCTTGTTTTCTGTATGTTTTGCTTTTTCCCCCCATCCTTGGTTCCCTCTCTTACCCTCTGCCACCTCCTGTTCTCCTCCCACACTGTCTCTGTTATCTATTTCTATACCATTTTCCCTCCACATTTTATTGAATCACCAAAGACCCTAATCAATCCAAATACCCTCCTAGCAAGAGCGCTTGCTTCTTAAATTAACTGATCACAGGACCAGCAGTTGGTGTAATGGCTATGTTGCTGGACTCCCATGTAGTCCCGGATCTGGTGGCTTTCATGCCGGGCGCGTGTGCGTGCGTGCCCAAGATCCCGAGAGGAGAATGAAGGAGAAGGGACTGTGGTGTGGCCATCCCTTCTGGGGGTGATTTCTCACTTTCTGTCTCTCTGGTGAGTGTACCC